GGATAGTGGAAAAAATGTATTGATTTTGGAATCAGATGAAAGTTCAAATTCTATGTCTTCCCTGAGACCATAGGCAGGTGACCTAACTTCTCTGAGCTCTATGTTGGGGGAAACTAAACCTTGAAACATTCTTACTAATGACAAGGCATGCTCAAAGCTTCCATCACTGTCCCTTTGTACATCAGGTGTTCAACAAATGTTAATTCCTTTTCTTTTCCAACTTTTCTCAGAAACAGTACTCGCCTCCTCAGTATCGACTTATTTGTATATTGTTATCTAAGTTTTCTGATTCCCCTTCAGGTTATACCCACTACTCTTAGGATAAAGTTCAAACTCTTTAGCATGGCCCTCCTTAGGTCTCTTGTGCCCTGCTGTAGCCCTCATTCAGTGGCCAGTTACTTCCTTTTGGCCCAATCTTCTCATTAAATCTGGCTAACTCATTCCTCAAAATGTACCTTAGCTGTCACTTATATATGTGCCTGTTCTGACCACCAAGTTTGACTTCTGTGTTCCAGTGGCACCTGTCACCTCCTCTCTGATAGCTCTGACTGCATTGTGTTGGATTTTTCTGTATCTCCCATTAGACTGTAAGCTTCAGGCACTCACCGTAGTGACTAGCACATACTGAGTGATCAGTGAATAAGTGTTTAATGGAGAGATGAAGGACTACGTGTGAACAAGGGATCCCTTAATTTGAAAATAGTTAAAAATGAAGAATTTTTGACAATACCTAGGGTGTATCTGGATCGATCATTAAAGTTTTACTTTTTGTTTGGTAAAGAAAGTTGATAGTTTATGTGTATTGTAGGTAGGAATACAGACTCTGGACCTTGATTACCTGGGTTTAAATCCTGGCTGTGCCACTGACTGCGGTGTGATCTTGGGTTAGTTACTCAATCTGTCTGTGGCTCAGATTTCTCACTTGTAAAGTTCGGACAATATGATTCTTATTTTACGGTTGTTACAAAAATTAAATGAGTTTTTGCATGTAATGAGCTTATAATAATAAAGTTTTGCATTGTAATGAGTTTGTGTCATGGTTTTTGTATTTGTGTCTAATGCGTGTTTTAAAATAATAGACACAATGCATTGTGTAGCTGCAGTTTTCTGAAAAAGTCAGTCTTTTAAGGAATGGTTTTTCAGATCCCCAATAAATTTTTTCTTTAAATTTCAAAATAAAAAAACAATTTCTAAAAGATTGACTTTGACACAATGCATCATGTCTATCATGTTAAAACGTTCATTAGACGCAAATACCAAAACCATGAAACAAGCTCATTACAAGTGTTATAAGCTCATTACATGCAAAAATTCATTTAATTTTTATAACAACCCCTGAAATAGGAATTATACCAGCACATAGCACACTGTAAAGATTAAAGATTAAAAAACGATAAAAGCAATCTTACAATTAGGTGCGAAGGACCAGGTGTGGACTCAGAATAGGGCAGGGTGCCCACGATGAGAGGCATAGTAAGATTGAAAGCATCTTATTATCCTTCAGAAGCTGACAAAACTGAAGAATTAATGTCTCTATAAAAAGGAATATCACGGGAACTTCTCCTCCTTCTCTCCCTCCTGTGTAGAGTGGGTGAGTTTAGTGACAGACTGTTTTGGAAGGAGCTAGAAATATCAGTTTAAAAAATGCTTGGCAACCACTTCAGAATGATTATCTGACTTTGGCAGAAAGGGAGAATACTGAGGTATTCCTCTTACCCAAATTTAGAAATGTCACAGAGATATAATGAATCATCCCTCAGAGGCTTTAAAAACATTTTTCCCATTAAAGAGTTGCCTATTGCCTACCACGCTGGCAATTCTGAACTTCAGGATGACCCACCAACCCCACGGAAGCTACCGCCTTTTGAGAATGATGGGATCTGCTTCAGTCTAATTCTTTTGCCACACGTGGGTGGACTCTTCTACCCTATGGATTAGTCTAAGTCAATCAAGTTAACCTCATCCCTCTTATCAGCCATGAGCTCAGACATGGCCAGTGCAAAACAAGGAAAGGGATTTTGAAGAAAGAACTCAGTCTTTCTCCCCTACTGTCTCTGAACAACAAGCATATTGCTCTGATTGCAGCTGGCAGCCATTCCCAGAAAGGGCTACCAGTCCTAGGATGAACCAATGCTATGACTGGCAGCTTGGAGAGATGCGAGGACGTGAGTCCCTGATGACCTCATTGAGCCCCTGCAACCTGCCCTAACTCTGTACTTCCTCTTTTGCCTTACACTAAATTTCCTTATCGTTAAGCTAGTTTAATTTGGGTTTCTGTTATTTGCAGCCAAAAAAACATTCTAACCAAATGCACTCATGACAATTTCTCCACTCTGTCTCCTAAGCAATTATTTGTGTTGGTGTGGATGGCCCTATTAGGTTGCACATAACTTGAGGGCTGTTGCCATATCCCATCCATTTTTTATTTCTTTCAAAAAACACTTAACATAATGTCCTACAAATAGTCACAATTTCACTACTTGTTTCTATATAACAAAGCATACACACTGACAGCCTTTGGCCCCATTTAACAGCATTGAAGCCCCATTAAAGAACAGAGTTTGCTTTTTTGATGCATAATCATAAAATCCAATGCTTGGAAGAAGTGAATAAATGACTGGTGTTTCAGTATCTTTTTATGTTGCTCGTGCAATAGTTGGATATAAAAAATCTTATTACAAATTAAACTATTTAATTATGTTTTCATAAGATGCAACCACGTACACTCCCCCTGGTTTTCCCTCTATCAGGACTAATTTCAGGCAGTCTGTTTACAGAGTGAAGATGAATTTTATTGGTGACAAATGCACTTCTGCATTAACAAATTAACTGTGCTCTCAAAGGAGAAAAAACAAACTCGAAGAAAATTGGGTTGTCTGTTCTTGAAATCTAAAAAAGGACTTCTTTCCTCAGGGGACAGTCCATATTTTCATAATCACATAGAAAGGAAAACATGTGCCTCTTGGGTATAACATTAAAATAAATTAATTTTGCTGCCTTATTTATGATGGCTAATGGCAAACTGGGAGTGTTTATTTCTAGATTCCTCTTCTCATAAAACCAGGTTTTTCTATGACCTCCGTCTCACTAAAGATGAATAGCTGTGTCAACTTATAGGGGATGAAGAATGTGATCTCTGTTCCTCTATTTTCGGCTTATTATTAATAGATGAGTGGTCATAGGGACTAACAGGACCCTAAAGCCTCAGAATCTTGGCTTCATGTCACTGGAATATCATCTTCTGCTTTTCTCTCTGCTGTTCTTGTGATGTAAAAAGTCTTGTATTGGAAACATGCTGCCTTGTTATCAGACCCTAAAGACAGCTTCTATCATTCTCCTCTGTCTAGCCCAACTTGTGGTTAGTTTTTACCCCTGCCTTCTCCTAACATACACCAGGTTTTCCTTCATCTGGTCTTCCATGATCAGCCTCTGTCTGCATACTCATTCTCCCGAAATACTAGAAAATTCACTCAGTCATGTATATTTCTTTGGCATTCTCCATATCTGGTGTGGAGAGGCGCCGATCTATCACAGATATGGGTTAACTATATACAGTAGCTTACAGTAAGATGAGATCCCCGTTATTTTTTACTGCAGGGTGTTATAATTTTAAATACTTGACTTTCATGATGTTCAAAGTATTGAAGAGATACGAATGACCTCTGCAATTAACATAGGAGTCACTGACAGATTCTGAAAAATAGCAGTCTTCCCTGGAATTTCACCAGCTGAAAATCTTATCTTAAAGAGAAATGTTGTAGTCATTGATGGAGACCCTAATATTTCCTCACAAAAGAAAGAAGCTCTTATAAATAGTTGTGATGTGATCACAAGTAGATTTGCACAAGTCTGGGAATATTTTGAGGGTCCATAAATGTGGTTGTTACTTTTGTGCTCTCTGATTTTTTCATAAAGTTGTTAACAGTGATGCCATTTAGCTAAGAAGTAATACTATCCAAGCGTGTTTTATAAATCGCTACATGCCCACTCACTTAGGATAGATAATTCTTCCTAATAGGTTGGTTGCAGAATACAGGTTTTTTGTTTTTTTTTTAAGTTTGCTTGTGTTTTTTAGTCTACTTAATTGCATTGGACTTATTTGAGGAATAATCCTTATTTGCAAGACAGAGCTAAACCTGAGCAAACCAGAATAATCACCCTTACCAGAGAGACTAGGAACAAAATATTAAACTGAGCTTCCTTTTGGAAATGAAACTCCCTAATTTCTTGTCAGTTAGAGACTGGTTGAGCTGCAGCCCAAATGATGGATTCTTTTGCCTTGTCCTACCATGGGGCAGAGGTAAGTGGCCAAATATGGGAAATGAGAATCACAGGGAAGAAATTGAAATCTGCAGGGACCCCTAAGCAAGTGGAGGGAGATGCGTCATCTAATCTGAAAGAATTCTTCACATTACAAGGACGAAGTATTCTTTAGTGAAAATGCTAACATGTTTTTTGGAGCCATTTTTCTGAACTTCAGGTTAAATTTTAAATCAAGATTAAGAGGAAGTTGTCTTTTCACAGTTTATTTCTGCCCCCTAACCTGTTCCTGTTAGTTTTAAACACGATTAACCATTTGACATGACTACCCAAATGATAGACTGTTTGTATTAAACACATATTACAATTTATTTTCCCGTATATAATTAGGAATAATCATTGCTGCCAGAATGTAAAATGACACGTCAACGATAAGTAGAGATAATAGCAGCTGCATGCAAGAAAAGGCGTAGCAAACACCTGACGCTTATAATTATCTCTCTCTCCCCACCCCTTGTATTTATGTCATGATGCATCTTAGCGCCTTAGGTAGTCATTAAAACCATATACATCTTCTACTAGGACTTACTGCAAATACATAGGGATCCCACGGGTGCATGGATTTTCAATATTGCAAAAGGTTAATAATTTGGAATGCATTTTACCGAAACAAGATTTTTTGGGGGGAAGCTTGAATTATGCATCATCCTTATATTTTTTTGTGCATTCAACAGGGTACCCACTCTGTGCTGAATACAGTGCTAGTCACTTTGGAGGAAACACAAAGCAAAGAAGCACCACCTCCCCTCAAGAGACTTCCAATCTCCCCAAGTGGTGCAGACAAGACAAAACAGATGAAGCAAGAAGAAATTATATCATATCCATCAAATTTTGCTCAAGTTGTAGAGTCTGGAGAGCATAAATGTAAGAATTTGGAGAGAAGAGATCAGGAGAGATGTGTAGAGGAAGTAACTTGAGCTTAATTTTTATGGTTAAGGTTATTTGTATAGGTTTCGATAGAGTTAGGTGTCAGAGATGTTTCCCATGACAGGTGTTTCATGATTTAGTCTTAATTAGATTATTTTTCTATCATCTGAGCTATATTGCATTCTCTCCTTTAGCCAGTTTTATCTAACATATATAAATAATCGCATTTAGCTTGAGAGAGAGATTCAAAAGAAATGAAGTATGCTCCCCAAACTGATCTAGCTGAGCAACAGAATACAGATTTGTCAAGCTACTAGATAACAAATACAGGGTAAAGGTCTTCGCTTTTGTCTCTATTTTAACTCCATGGGTAGGTGGACCATATAGCTCTAACCTTCCTAACATTTTCTATGCTCATAACTCAGAAAGTCCTCACAGTAGACCAAACAGGTTTTGGGCAATCCAAAACTTTTACTGTATTCGATTTAGGGAAAAGTTTGGCAGGTAAGTTTGTCAGAGTTTTGCTTTCAAAACTTTCAAGCCATAGATTGACTCACTTAAAATGTTCTGCAGGCTATATTTTAATTCATGTAAAGACAGAAATTTTTGCAAAGGTCTATGAATATTATCTTTTATATTTGATATTAAACATTATTTCATGCTTGTTGGCTGATTATTTACTTCTCTCTACAAGACTCAAATTGAGCACTTAAGTCAATGACTTTATTGAGTTATTTATGAAAAATAACTTAATCCAGTCCTGCCTACACTATAGCTAAAGGCAAGGTTTAATTTTAGTGACTTAACATGCTTTATGACTGATTGTTCTGACTTGTGTAAGGATAATAAATTCCCCAAAGAGACATGGTAATTAGAAAACAGTGATCCTGGTTTTTTCTTTAAGCTATCTGTGATCTTTGAGGCCTTTTTGGCACTGTTCTTTGTGAGAGCAGTTGCCTCCAAGGTCCCTGTTCACTCGGATATCACACAGTAGTGAGGCCTCAAAAGGGTAGACTCCACAGTTCAGGGTGGACAAAATTATCTCTGTGAGAGCAGCAGATACTGGCATATACTCTTTTCTAACTTGGTGGAGCTATAATACATGTCTTCTTGTGATTCTGCAAGGGAGCAATCTGAAAGGAGGACTCAGAACATAAACCCTAGGAGAGGTCCATCACCGGATCATTTTTATGCCTTGGCACAAAAGTTTTCATGGTTCCCATGACTTCATAACCACAGTTATGTCGTCCAGATGTACCATGAGAATCAAACAAAAAATACGGATTTTATTTTAGGCTCCTGTGTAATCACATCACTTAGACTTACTGCGTAGCTTGGTGTCACCACTCACTCATATAAATACTCTTACAGGAAATAAAATATTGAGCTAATTAATTAAATTATTATTGATTCAAGTCAACAAGTAACATAATATTACTGCCAGGATATTAAGTATTACGAGCAACATGCAGATGAAAAAAGAAAATCCTAACCTCAAAAAGGATTTAAAATCGAGTAGGAGGTATTAGGACAAGTACTTACCCAACGCCAATCAAAAAGAGGAGAGCTATTTGGTTTGAAGGTGTGATAAGGTCCATGAAGAAGGTAAAACTCTAGAAGAGAGAGAAAAAATAGAGAGAAAGAATGAAAGAGTGAGAGAGATAGATCACTTCTGAGTTGAAAACATCAGAAAAGGCTTCACAAAGAAGGTAGAACCAGAAATGGAATAGAAAGGGTAAGCAAAGCAAACGATGTGATCTTCTGATTTTGCAATCAACTTTTAATTTTCTTTCTTTATTTTTTTTGTCTATAAAGCTCCATTCCTAGGAATGGTTTCATTTAAAAAAGAATCTTAGAGGCTGATAAATTATCGATTGTTCTATGTAGTAATAGCATCCACTATTTTGCAGATCACTAAGTATAGAAACGTGATACAGATTTTAATACTGTGAATATTCAGCTACACTTGACACTGATCACACTCTAAGAGAGAGATGAAGGGAAGTCTGTGTATATTGCCCATTTGGCTTTTATAATTACAACTTCTTATATTGGTTATTGTCATTGAATCCTTCCATGCTGGAGTTGGGCTGATATTGATGCCCTTTCCGTAGAATGATAGCATTACAAGTCTTGGAAAGATCTTATAAGTCATCTTGTACACCCCTTTCCCTTATATTGTAGATGTCCAAACCAAAACCCAGAGAGAGGCAAGGGTCTTATCTTCAGCAGGAGAACTCATGTTAACTCAATTTTGTAGAGCTCAGTTTCCTAGAACTCATTCTACTGGGCATAAGATAAGACACCTTCTTCACATGGTTTAATTTAACTGGGTGTCTCAGTTATGCAAACGTATAGTATCTGCAGTAATTGTAGTAATTTTGTAGCTTTCTATTTTGACTTATTTTGTTTTTCATAAAACCACTGGGAATCAATAAATACATTTCTCAAACAACAGTGTCAATGACATTGTGACATTGGTCTTTATTTCCTGTTAATGGATTTAGAGATATATAGTTTTGCATAACGCAGTTAAGATTAAATTCATCTTGAGAAATTTCAGAAAAGCCTAGTGTAGACATAAAAAATATGTTTCAAATTTCTGAGAAGTCTTTCTATTTGAAGACATATACACACAGAGCTTATCGTTACTTTCCTTGTTTATTTAGGTCTATATATTTACTACAATGATGCAAGTTAAATAGAATAAATTATAGGAGTAATCTCATTTTATGATTTTACTCCCTATTTTAAGGTATACTTATTCTCGTTTAGTGTTTTACCTAAATGTGTGGCCACATGTATAACTTGTCTCACATTGCACTTTGACTCAAACTATCTGTCAATAAATTTACTTGAATCCTGAATCTGTTGGGAAAAAAAATGATTGTAGATAGCATTATAGGTTACTGAGTTTAGACCAATTCAACTTTTGAGGCTGCTTTATGATATATTGTATAAACAGAAAAAAGAAGTAGAAGGTCACTTTCTTGTAAAAAATAAGTAATGCCTTCCTTCATAAAAACTTTTTTTTTTATTGCAGTTATCTTAACTTCATTAAAAAACTCACAGGCAGAATTACAGGGCACTGAGTTTAACCGGGGAAGACATTGGAGTAACCTTTGTGCCTTGTAAAGACACATTGATTGGAGCCAACTCTACCCTTTGACTCAATAATCAAAATCTTGGTATTTGATCAGAAGTAAGTAATCCGACAAAGAAAACATATGTGTATGCAAAGTTATTTCTTATGTCTTCATGTATAAGTGTGCATAATTAGAAGAAATAAAGTTAATATCCAACAATATGGAATTAGTTTAGTAATTTACAGCATGTCCCCTTAGCCACATAGGATGTGAAGCTGAGTGACTCCAAAATTTTTTCTCCAGTGTTTCTATTATAATATTTCAACAAGAAATGTGACAAAGTGTAAAAATAATCTGAAAAATATACATGCCAGTTTTGAACAGAATTATTAGTTTTGATATTCCACATTACATCAGACTCCAAATGCATAAACTGCTTTGTTTTACTTAAAAATCAAAATAAACAAAAGTTTTGATTTCAAAACTAAACAAAATAAAGAAATTTAAGCACTATCTTTTCAAAGAAATGTCCAAATATCACCATTAAAATAACGGTATTATATAAAGTTGTAAACCATATCACAAACCTAGGTTACAGCATTTCTATCATGTTGCAAAAATGCCTTTTTCATTTCCAGTAATTCCTCATTGCATGTCAAGGCTCCCTACTCATTGAAATAGTGGCATTCGCTGCTTCGGAAGGAGGGCAGACGCAACTACTGGGGACAAAGTTGTCCTCATTTGGCTCCAAATTTCATCTCCTTTTTGAAGTCTACAGCAGACGCAATACTCTAAAAGCCACAATATTTTTATGAGCCACTTGGGAAAGAAAGAGATTTCATTGAAATTCAAAAATTTGACTTGGTAAATCAAGAGCAAAGCCTGGCAAAGGGAAATGCTGAGTTTATACCCGGAATCAGAGACTACGGAGGACTCACACTGCCTTAGGGTCAGCTTTCCTTCCTGCAGGGAAATCAAAGAACTTTGAATCTTTGTCAGGCTTAATTAAAGGAAGAGCTGAGGAGGATTTTCAAAGGAGAACTTGAGTGTGGATGCTGGAGAGGGTCCTGCTCCTTGTCCGCCTGCAATTAAAGTCTGGAGTGGGAAACTAGGACCCCTAGATGGGCTAAAGTTTCTGAAAGAAGAAGGGACTGATGATGTCTTGCTTCCTGTCTGGAATTCTGGAAGGAGACACTTCCCGGGCTCTATATGTGTGTGGGACTGCCTTGGTAAATGGAAGTGGTGGTGCGATGCTTCAGAGAGCGGTCTGACTCACCCCCTTCCCCCACCTTACCCTCAAATGCCTTCCTCCCTGGATGCATCAAGGAAATCTGAAACATTGTCTGTGCCTGAGAGAATATGAAATGGAGTGGAGAACTGTGAGCCCTCTTTCTACCTGGCGTCAGCAGGGTGCTGAGAGGGTGGACCCTATAGTGGAGGCTCAGTCGAGGGACTCTCAGAGAATGAACAGTTCCAGCAAGTGCTGAGGAGACAGCGAGACAGTGGAGCTCCCTGAGCAGAGCTTGACAGACACTTGACCTGGAGACAGAGGCCCATGACTGTCAGGAAACACTAGATCTGGATGTGGCAGAAACAGGCTAACACCCAAGACAGGAAGATGAGGTATGCAGACTAGGACAGAGGAGGTCTCTCAGACCAGAAGCCCCTGCCTTTAAACCAGGATGTTGCACGAGCCCTGAGAACGTTCATCGCTCCTAGGAGAGACAAGAAGAACTGGGGGTGGCGGGGGTTAGAGAGAGGAACAATTGCTAAGAGACTCAATTGAAAATGAAGAATCTCTTTGAGCTGTAGTATAAGACCAAAAACAAACAAACAAATAGAAGGAAAGAAAGGAAGAAAGAAAGAAAGAAAGAAAATAGAAGAATATGTTTCCCATAATGAGCAGAAAAGTGGGCTTAAGGCCCAGGTTATTTTTAACTGTAAGAAATAAAGAAGTTTCTGTTTCTGCACAGCTGTGTTTTTGTGCCTCAAGAAATAAAGTTGTGGTTAAAGTTGGGGGGTGGGGGTGCGTGTGTATACTTATCCAAGTCTCAAAGTTAGGGATTCCCTGGCCTCAGGAAACACACTGCAGCTTAGGCTGGATGGACCAGTGGTAAGGATGCAGGGGGAGGAGATTCAGAGGCCTGGAGAAAGAGAGAGCTCGGCAGGATGGATATGACATGGCTGGTAATCTCAGATTCACTTTTTACCCAGACAAGGTTGCAGCTCTGGAAACCAGGGAACTGCTGACAATTTGTATAATCTGAAGTAAATCAGGCTCCATTTGATGTAGGGGAGAAACTAACCTGTTTAAATAAACTGGGGCCAGGATGTAGGAATTCAGGAGATTAAAAATATTACAAACGATGGTACTTAATGTATATTGCCTTATGGGTTATTTTTATGTTCATTTCCTACAAAAGTCAGGAACACAATTCATCAGCCTCTGGACATATGTACAGAAGGAAATGTTGCAGCTGATTAAGAGTAAAAGAAACATGGTTTCAAGGGTGCTCTGCATTGGATGGGGATACTAGAGCGAGAAGTATGGGATACAACACAGTATTGCAAAAACAGCGGAAAATTTGGAGTTGAATGCATCTGAGTTTAAATCCTGGGACTTCTGTTTGCTTGCTTCGTGTGACATTGAGTGGGTCAGTTTCCTCATCTGCACATTGGAGACAATCACACTTACATTGCTGGGTTTTTGGAAGTGTTAGGATGATGTGCGTAAAGCATGTAACTCCTTCTCGGGCACCTTCTGGTGGGTGCTTGGTAAATGGTAGGGATCAGCAGAAAGAGATATATTCATTTTGGAGGGGACTGTTTTTCTATTGTATTTTTGTTTCCTTTGTTTTCACCCATTGTATAGGTTTCTGTGACTGCTGTAAGAAATGATCACAAATTTGGTAGCTTAAAAAAATCGAATTTATTCTCTCACAGTTCTGGAGGCCAGAAGTCTGAAACCAAGATGTCGGCCCCCCCTTCAGAGGCTCTAGGGGTGGAATCTATTCCTAAATTCTTCCAGTGTCAAGCAGCTGTCAGCATTCCTCGGCTTGTGGCCACATCTCTCTCTGCTCCATCTTCACATCACCTTCTCCGGTATGCATCTGTGTTTAATTTTCATCTGCCTCTCTCTTATAGGGGTCCACGTGGTTGCATTTAGGGCTAACCCAGGATAAACCCCTCCTCTCAAGATCCTAATTTAATCACATCCATTGCCATGCAAGGTGATATTAACAGGTCCCAGGGATCAGGAAGTGAATATATATTTGAGGAACTATTTTTTCCGCCAACCATACCTGTCTAAATTTGGTGCTGTTGTCAGAATGCTTGTGTTCCCTCAAAATTCATACGTTGAAATCCTAATGCCTATAGCGATAGTATTAGGAGATAGGGACTTTGAGAAGTGCTTAAGTCATGAATGTGGAGCGGTCATAAATGGGATTAGTCTTCTTGCAAAAGAGACCCCACAGAGATCCCTTGCCCCTTGCCCCGTGTGGGGAGACAACGAGAAGTCTGCGACCCGGAAGACCTGCAGAACTGTGAGACACAAATTTCTGTTGTTTGTAAGCCACCGAGTCTGAGATATTTTATTACAGCAGCGTGAATGGACTAAGACATCTTGTAAGAAACTTTTATAAAAACTAAAGCCTAACAAGTAAGATTTCAGAAACAATTTTGACTTTGCTTTGAAGTGGTCTGAGGAAAGAGTGTGTATGGGAACAGGAGATCCGGTTGCCAGACTTAGGGAAAAGAAAACCCAAAAGATGAGCACCTGAAGTAAAGCATCAGCATTTGGAAAAGCGAGAAGGGGATTTGGAATAAAGATGGTATCTTTAAAAAATGCAGTATTACTTACTTTCCAAATTTTTCCAACACATTTAACTCTAAAGCGAATCCCTAGAAATCAAATCCTATTTTGCTACTGATTTCTACTATGTAATTGGAACTACACATCTGTGGAAAATCTCTGTCATCTGAACTGAAACTTTTTTCGAAAAGGTTTACAGCCTCGCCTATTCCCTTAGCGTTGTATCCGTTTAGATGCTAGCGTTCCAAACGCCGCAGTCTTCTCTTACTCTACGCATCTACAATTTCCCCTGAATTGTAGGAGTATCCTCTTGACAGGGGAGTCACTGAACTGTGTATTTGCAGCTTCTTTGATTATCATCTACAGCTAATATTTAAATAAGACCTTTGGACTTAAGTGACTTATAAAACATATTTTCCTTCTGTTTATCATTCTGTTTGTATTTCTAAATTTAAAGTGAAGGATGTATACACAACTAGTAAAATGATGCTTTATTTTGTGTGTAGTGAGATTTTTGCCTCCAAGGAAATAATTTTACACATATTCTTAAATTAGAAACTTACTCCTTTTTGGTCTTGGTATCAGCAATACTTGTGCTTTTCTGTATCGCTTAGTTCTTTAAATCTCATGGACACTATGGATTGTGTAAAGGATCAGATTTCCTTTTATGTCGATCATTTAAGTTTATTGCCTGCTTAAAAGAGTGTAATGAAAATTTGGCGTATATTTTCACAATAATTTTTCTTTGGCTGCATTTTATATCACTACTTTGTGTGTGTCTGTTGTGAGTTAAATTGTGTTACCCCAAAAGATATGTTAAAGTCTTAACCTTTGATGCCTGTGACTTTATTTGGAAATAGGGTCTTTGAAGTGTAATCAAGTTAAGATGAAGTCATGCTGGATTAGAGTGAGCCCTAATCCAATGACTAGAGTCCTTATGAAAAGAGGGAAATTTGGATGTAGAAACATACATCCAAAGAGAACTCTATGTGAGAATGGAGGCAGAGATTGAAGCGATGTGTCTGTAAATTGCAAGGAATGGCAAGGATTGCTGACAACCACCAGAAACTGGGCAGGGGCAAAGAAGGATCCACCCACAGAGCCTTCAATGAGACCCGGCTCTGCTGACACTTTGGTTTTGGATTTCTAGACTCTAGTACTGTGTGACAATCAATTTCTATTGTTTTAAGTCTTCCAGTGTGTGGCAATTTGTTATAGTATCCCTAAAAAACTAATACAGATTTTGGTACCAGGAAGCTGGATGCTACTGCAACAAATCCCAAAAAATGTGGAAGTGGCTTTGGAATTCAATAATGAGTAGAGGCTAGAGGATTTTGAGGTTCATGATAGAAAATGCCTAGATTGACTTGAAGAGATGAGTGGTAGAAATATAGACCTTAAAGGAGATTCTGTTGAGTATTCAGAAGGAAGTGAAGGGGGCAATAGAGAAAGCTTTTATCACCTTAGAGAATGTATACGTTGTCATGAACAGAGTGTTGCTAGAGCTGAATGTTAAAGGTTCTGATAAGACTTTAGAAAGAAATTATGAACATGTTCTTGGAAACTGGAAGAAAGGTGATCCTTTTCATGAAGTGGTAGAAACGTGACTCAATTATGCTCTGTTGTTGGGTGGCAAGCAGAATCTATAACTGATGAACCTGGATATTTAGCTGTGGAGACTTCCAAACAAAGCGTGGAGGGCGTGGCTTGGTTTCTCCTTGCTGCTTATAGTAAAATTCAAAAGGAAAGACATAAATTGAGGAAGAAGCTGTTAAGCAAGAAGGAATTGAAAATTGATGATTAGAAAGATTCTCAGCTTATCCAGATAGTGTGTTCTTGAAACAGAACAAAGAGTAGGGCTAGACAAATTTTCCATGAAGAGATCAGGTGTGTAACTCATGGATATAATCAACCATCTCAGCAGAAGCCAGGAATAGAGATGCAGTTATCTGGGAAGGCTCTATGGAGAACCCTCATGTCTAATATTGAGAATCCTCATGACGTCTGCTGAAGACTGAGAGGGTTTTTGAGAATTTTATACCAGCTTAAACCCTGCCAAGCTGGACTGAAAGGGACAAAGATGGAACAAAATGAAGAATGACTCTGAAGCCAGAAGCCTGGATGCAGAGGCCACAGAGAGTGGGACAGCCATCCTTGAGGGCCCAAAGGACAGAACTCAGAGCCACAGAGGATCATTCCTAGGATTTTAAAACCTAGTGGAATTTGCCCTGCTGTGTTGTGAACTTGTTTTGGACCTTTATTCCTCCCAGTTTTTCACTTTTAGAAAGAGAATGTCTATTCTGTGTCTGTTCTATCATTGTGTTTTGGAAGCAGATAATTGTTTTCTTGTTTCATGGGTCTGCGGGCAGAGGAAGATTTTGTCTCAGGATAGACCATACCCAGAGTCTCACCCATACCTGATTTAGATGACGAGATTTGGAACCTTTTTGAATAGGTGGCATTTAGATGAGATTTTTGGATTTAGAGGTAATGTGAGAATGGACTAATTAAGACCTTTGTGGATGTTGAGATAGGCTGAAAATATTTTGAACACAGGAAAGACATAAATTTTGGGAGGTCAGAGGCAGACTGTACTAGATTGAATAGTGTCCCTCAAAAATTCATGTCTATTGGTAACCTGTTAACTTAATTTGGCAATAGGGCCTTTGCAGATGTAATCAAGTTAAAGTAAGCTCATTCTGGATTAAGATGGGCCCTAAATCCAACATGACTGGTGTCCTTATAAGAAGAGGAGAGGACAGAGAGACAAAGACACAGAGGAAGGACCACCATTGAAGATAGAGGTGGAGATTGCAGTGATGCATCTACAAGCCAAGGAATGCCAAAGATTGTAGTCAACTGCCGGAAGGTGGGAAGAGTCAAAGAAGGATTATTTCCTAAAGTCTTCAGAGGGATCATGACTCTAGGATACTTTGATTTCACACTTTTAACTTCTTATATCTATGAGAGGATAAATTTCTGTTGTTTAAGCCACATAGTGTGTGGTAACTTGTTATTGTAGTTTTAGGAAATTAATCCAATGTCTCTAAATTTGAGTGTGTGCCTGTGTGTAACATGTATGTGTATGTGTGACTGTGCACATGAGAGAATTTATCACCAATTTCAAATTTCTGCCATCTCATATAACTTTTTTTTTTTAAAGATTTTTTTATTTTTTCCTTTTTCTCCCCAAAGCCCCCCGGTACATAGTTGTATATTCTTTGTTGTGGGTCCTTCTAGTTGTGACATGTGGGAAGCTGCCTCACCGTGGTTTGATGAGCAGTGTCATGTCCGCGCCCAGGATTCGAACCAACGAAACACTGGGCCGCCTGCAGCGGAGCGCGCGAACTTAACCGCTCGGCCACGGGGCCAGCCCCCATCTCATTTAACTTTTGTTTAAAAAAGTGAAATTATTAGATAAATAAATAAATATTCGACTCATATACTAAGATGATATCTCCTTGTTCAAGGTAGTTTTTGGAATCTATCCTCTTTGGATAAAAATGTAATTCATTATATTGCTTCTAAGACAATGACCCAGGATAGATTTTCTTAACCTATGCATTCTCCTGACTCTGTCAATGGTAAACCTGATGACATTTTGCAGGAAGCTGCCTCAAAATTCTCAGCAAGACTTAACATGATTAGGGAGCAAATGACTTCTGGGCTTGAAAGACCAGAGATTCCCTTTGTGTGGGTGTCTTATTAAGATGAAATGCATCTGGGGTTTGCTAAGAGATGGGTCAAGCCAGCACACATCCAAGTTTGTCCCTCCATGGCATCTGCCCTATTTAATGTGGTCACATAAAGCCTCTGGGTGAGACAGCAAGCAGATGCACTGGAGACATTTCCTAAGACAGAAACAGATGAGTGGCAAAGGCATTTTCCCTTCTCATTTCCATTTTATGCATTTCAGGGTTTGGCAGGGGTGAGCTCTGCTTTCATGTAGATGATAATGCAATGCTGTAAAGGAATCAAATCAAGCAAGATTCTCTCTTAGCTGTAGACTGGCTTCCTGTTATTTTCTTGAATGTTTTCTTTTACTTTTGAAAACAGACAACAGCAAACCTTTAAAGCAGGGAGACAGATTTTAAGCTTGCTCTCCTTATTCAGATCAATTTGGAACCAGGTCCCGCCTCCCATCTCTTCTAATTTTGATGTACATTCTCCATTGGCCACTGGCCAGAGCAGAATTCAGGAAATGATAAATACTCATTTATTCCCAGACACAGCAGTTTGTGCTGAGATGGGAGACTACATTTACAGTCATTAAGCCTATTGCATGTTTTGTGTGCTTATTAATATCAGCCAGGGTTAATGTTGGTGTCAACTGCACTAGGGATGGTTAACTTTTGCTAGCCTTGGAAACAAGCTTTTTGTTCTTAGTGGCTTTCCTGCTCAATGGTCCACACTTGCTTTCTTCAACCTTCAGCAATGGTTTACAACCTGAGTGTCAAATTAAGTTGAACTAATCTGGTTTAACACCAACTGGTCATGGCCAGATATCACATAGCTGAGAAACATTTTATAGCTGATATGACAGATATCAGAGAAACCCAGCAATACTTAGAAGAAAACCTTTAGAAGAGGAAAACAGCTTGTTTATTCTAGTGCTCAAGGAGAAAAGTGTCTCTGATTTTTAAAATTCTGAG